AGTGCAAATTGAAAGAGGAAAAATAAGGAGAATGAGATGGAGTAAAAATATGGAAATGTGAAATATGTCGAATGTGAAACAAGAAAACAGGAATGAAATGACTAAGTGAAAGTTGGTACAAAAAGGCAAACCCTAGACAAACTGTACCCCATATGTGCTACCCCACTATAGCCTACAGTAGCTATGTCATATAAATTCTGACACACCCCTATAGGCAGAGTGGGGGAGAACAAGGGGTCACAAGACCAGTCAAGCAAAAACAAAGCAAGCTCAGGGTGGATCACAAAGTCACCACACATTCCGAGCACAAGTTCAAGGCCACAAGGCCAGTTCACATGCAGGATTACATATATATATAAGACTAGACAAGCAAGAGCAGGTGTATATATATATATGCAACAGTACAAACAAGGTCAAGGGGTCAGCAAGTGAGGCAAGGTAGGCACAAGGCCCAGCTGAGTACAGAAGCGCTGATGATCACAAGGCGCAAGTGCCTTGGTGAAGATATCAGCAGTGTTGGCCTGAGAGGCCACGTACGCAAGCCGCAGCTGACCACGCTGCTGTAGCTCACGAGCAAGGAAGTAGCGGAGAGCAATGTGCTTCGTTCTGTGCTCCAGTCTCTGCTCTCGACACAAGGCCAGTATGGCCTTGTTGTCTACGTACAGCACTGGAGGAGAACGAGGCGGCTCTCCGAGGTCAGTCAGCAGGTAGGTGAGCCAGCGAAGCTCCTGTGCAGCCATGGCCCCGGCGTAGATCTCAGCCTCACAACTGGAGCCGAGAACAGAAGACGAGCGGGTAGCCCGCCACGAAACAGAGCCGGAACCAAGGATGAAGGTGTAACCCTGTGACGACCGCTGCGTAGCCTGGTCGTCAGCCCAAGAGGCGTCTGCGTGCCAGTGAGGACCACTAGACTCTGCCCTCCAAGCACAAGCCCCATGCCCGACGTACTGCACAAGTAGCGCAACACCCTCTTCGCTGCAGCCATGTGCTCCGGTCTGTGTCTCCCAGGAGCAACATAGCGTGCAAGAATGCTAAGAGGGTATGCAAGGTCAGGTCGTGTGCAGGTCATCAGGTACATTGAGGCAGCCAACAAGCTCTGGGTACGGGCCACTCGACTCTACGGACTCATCCGAAGGCAGAGCTGAGAGTGAGTGGCGAGTAGGCAGAGGAGTGGCCTGAGGCGAGGAGTACGTGAAGCCGAAGCGCTGAAGGACCTGCTGGCACCATGTGTGACTGAGTCAGGGTAATGGTGCGGCGTGCTCTGTCCCGGGTGATCTGCAAGCCAAGGTAGCTGCGCAGTTCACCCAGGTCTGTGCACGTGTGTCTCTTCTGCAGCTCGGACTTCACGTGGGCGAGTCCAGCAGTGTCAGCTGTGGCGAAGACCAAGTCGTCGACGTACACGAGGATGTAGAACGGCGGCAAAGAAAGTGTCGGTGCGCAGAAACAGCGACGGGTCGGCAGTAGAGGGAGCAAACCAAGAGCCGCAAGTGTAGTCCTCAGTGTGTCGTGCCACTCACGCGGTGCCTGGTGGAGACCGTAGACTGGGCGCCTGAGGCTCCACTGGGTGCCAGGAGGAAAAGACCCAGTGAAGCCAGGTGGGCGACGCAGCCAGATCTCCTCGTGCAGGCTGCCCTGCAAGAAAGCAGTGCTGAAGTCAAGAGAGTGCAGCTCGTAGTCGCGGTGAGCAGCTATGTGCAGCAGTACCCGAAGAGGTGGTCATCTTCGGGGTGGGAGAGAAGGTCTGAAAGTAGTCAACTCCCTGCCGCTGACTGAAGCCACGAGCCACGTAACGCGCCTTGAAGACAGGCGGAGAACCCGGCGGGCCGCTTCACCCTGAAAATCCACATGCCACTGACGATGTTCGCCCCAGGCGGGGGAACCTCGTCAACGTAGGTGCCTGTGGACTTCCAGGAAGCCATCTCTGCGTCCATAGCTGCCTGCCACTGAGAGGAGTAGGGACCCCTATCGCCTCCGCGTAAGAGCGCGGAGTCGGGATGTCAAGTGCATCCGGGTCTCCCTCAGGGGTAAGCAGTACGGACACGAGATGAGGTGAAGCAGCAGCCAAACACTGGAACTCCTCCTGCCTGTCCTCAAGGGACGTCCCGTGCCAAGGGCACACTCACCCCCGACGGACGGAGGACAGACAGACTCAGACTCAGCAACAAGACTAGCAGCGTAGTCTAGGCGACAGCGAGCAGCAAAGTCGACGAGCTCTGTAACTAGGGGCAGACGCAGCAGTGGACTCAAAGGAAGGGTCAGTGACAACAGTAGCAAGGAGACGCGTGACAGTAGGACTGGCAGCACGAAGAGAGTCCGACTCCGGGTCAGGAAGAGCAGGAAGAGAGGACTCAGGAGGAGAAGGTAAAGGGGCACGCAGAGGAGCAGTGGACGGACGCAGAGACATCCGGTGCGTGCCAGGGACAGGAGGAGGACGCTGACGCGAACCACGACCACTAGTGCGAACAGCACGGACAGGCGACGCAGGGCGAGACGCAGGCTCACGACGCTCAGCAAGACCTCCAGTAGGACCAGTGTAGGGAGAAGGAGCGGGCAGTGGGGAGGCCGGCTGTAACTGTAACTGTGACGGGACAGGCTGTGGACACTCTAAGGGAGGAGGAGGACCAGTAGAAGGCGGGAGACCAAGAAACTGCTGAAGGAGCGGAACGAAGTACGGCCTAGGCCGTGCGGCGACTCCAGACACAGCAGGGACAGCACCAGCACCCCCAGCGGCAGCACCAGCGCCAGCAGCACCTCCAGCTCCAGTACCTCCAGCAGCACAGTAGCACCCCCAGCTGGACCGCCTCCAGGACCGACAGCAGTAGCCTCAGCGCCAACACCCTCAGAAGCTCCAGCTCCAGTCGTACCCGCAGGCCCAGCAGCTCCAGTACTCCCAGTACGAGCACCTCCGGGACCCCCTCGGCACCAGGCACCCTCAGCAGCCGAAGAACCTCCAGCTCCAGCAGTACGCCTCCAGCGCCGGGCCAAACCACTCGCGCAGCTCCTGTGGAGAGAGTGGCTCCCGCCGAGACGAAGCACCCGGAGAACCTCCAGGCTCAGCACCGCCAGACGCCACACGAGCAGGCCCAGCTCCCTCAGGCTCCGCACCCCCAAGCTCAGCACCTCCAGGCGTGGCACCCCCAGGCTCAGCACCCCCAGGCGTAGCACCCTCAAGCTCAGCACCCCCAGGCTCAGGACCCCCAGTAGTAGCACCCTCAGGCTCAGCACCCCCAGGCGTAGCACCCACACGCTCAGCACCCCCAGAGTCAGCACCCCCAGGCTCAGCACCCTCAGCAGCACCAGTGTCACCAGTAACCTCGACAGGCTCGACTGCGTCTACCTGGGACACACGTGAAGGGGCAGGACCCTGAGGGGGGAGGGGGTCTACCGGGGGGGACCTGGTACAAGGAAGAGCGGTGGCGGGGGGAGGGACGGAGTGCGGTAGGGGAAGAGGCGGTAGTAGGGGACCGACTCGTCAAACGTGACGTCCTGGGAGGACAGAACACGGCGAGAGGTGGGGTGGTAGAACTGCCACCCTGGCGCGTCAGGGGGGAAGCCAAGGAAGACGCAAGGAGCAGCACGAGGGGACAGCTTGTCCGCAGACAAGTCGCGGACAAACGCCCGAGATCCCCAGACACGGAACGCAGACGCATCGCCAACCTTCCCCGTCCACAGCAAGGCTGGAGAGGTCTCCGGCATGGAGACCCTGGGGTGAAGATTGATCTGATGCGCCGCGTACCGAACCGCAAACGGCCACAGAAAATGGGGGGCAGCCGCATGCATCATGGACGTACGGGCGACGTCCATGACCATGCCAATGCGGCGCTCAGCAATCCCATTTTGCTGTGGAGAGTCCGGAAGCGTGAAGGTCTGGCGGATACCTCGTGCACGACAGTAGGCTCGCAGAAGGCCAGAGGAGAACTCTCCACCTCTGTCAGAGTGCAGACGCTGAACAGGAAAGTCCGAGCCGAAGCTCTGCCTGAGCTGGAGACGAGCTGCGCGGATCCAGTCGATCAACACCTCAGTGACATCACCCTTGCTGCGCAAGGGGAAGACTGTGGTGTAACGCGAGTAGTCTTCAACCACCAGCAGGAAGTAGCGCTCGTGACCCTGTCCACGGACGCGGGCCGGGCCCCACACGTCCATGTGAAGCGTCTGCAGCGGGACCTCTGTCGGAGGAAAACTGGGAGGAATGAGGGGCAGCCCGCTGCCGCCCCTCGACACAGGGGACGCAGGTAGGGCCGGGCCCCGGAGGAAGGGGTGGGAGGGACCGGGGAAGACCAGAGACAAGGACACGGGAGGCCATGCCTCGGAGACGAAGCAGGGAGGGGTGACCAAGGCGGTGGTGCCAGAGGAGAGTCTCGTGAGACAGGAGGCGACACGAACAGGGGGCAGACTCAGGACCAGACCTGGACGCTGCAGCAAACACCTAACCCGACGCAGCTACCTGACCAGACGCAGTGACTGGAGGAGACTCAGTGGTCAGGGTGTACAGGCTCGACCCCTGCCGACGGGTAAACGTGGCCAGGTGTCGGCCTGTCCGAGCGTCCGTGCAGTGGGTCACCCGCTGACTCGCAGGGGTGAACTGGTGAACCCCCGCATCCTGTAGGTCAGCACCACTCACCAAGTTCGTAGAGAACGAGGGAAGGTAAAGACCAGACAGGGTGCCAGAGGGGGCCGCCGGACACGGGAGGACAGTGGAGAAGTGAGCAAGGACAGGACCCCCAGAGGGGTCTGCCAGAGAGACTGCAACTGGCCGGCCAAGCGGCGTGAGTGTGGTGCGGTCTCGAAAGAAGGAGCGAGAAGCCCCCGAGTCAAGGGTGAAGGTGTGGGAGGCCGAAGTCGACGCAGAACCTGAGAGAGAAGACTCACCAGTACCTGAGGGAGCAGACGCACCTAGAGCAGCAGCCTCGCTAGCACCTAGAGCAGCAGCCTCACCAGTACCTAGAGCAGCAGTCTCAATGCCCGGGTCGGGCGGAAAACACCGGTAACAGTCACCCTCATCACTAATAGTCACAGTATACATGGCAGCAAGAATAGCATCAAAGTCAAGGTCAAAGACAGCTACACCCGCCCTAGACAGCTCACCCCAGCGGGGGATCTCAGTGGCCTCAGGGAACTGGTGACGCCAAGCGTCCGTGAGGCGGCCAAAGCAGCGCTGGGTGGAGTGCGCACCCCCGCACTGCTCACCCGCGCGGTCGCCGGTGCGGAGGACGTAGGTGCACGGACCAGTACCCCCACTCCTCTGGCGTGCAGCGTACCACTCACGGAGTTGCTGAGGGGAGGGGATGTCACGAGTGCGCTGCTGCTGCTGCTGCTGCTGCTGCTGCTGGCGCTGACCACCACCGGAGCCGACCCTCTGCGCAGCGCCACCCCGACCAGCTCCACCTCCTCCACCGCCTCCTCCTCCACCGCCGCCACCTCCGCTCCCACCGCCACCGCCGCCGCCGCCTCCACTGCCGCCACCGACACCGCCACCCCCGCCACCACCCCCACCGCCACCCCCACCCCCTCCACCGCCTCCACCTCCGCCTCCACCGCCCCCGCTAGCTCCTCCAGTGCCCCTGCCCCCCTTGCCCTTGCCAGGGCGACGTCTCCCGCTAGGGGTAGACGCCGCACCGACCGACTCAAGCCCAACGAGGTCGGCCGCAGCAGCAGAGGCAACAGAGGGCAAAAGGGGGGAGGGGGAACACCCCTCAAAGACGGGGGTGCGAGGGTCACCATGAGAGGCTCCTACAGCGACTATGCTCTTCTCTGCTGCTAGGAGGGACTTCTCGAGGAGGTCAACGGTGAGAGTGGTGGGGCAGACTGAGAGGAAGTGGTCCCTGACTACGCGAAGGGAGTCAGGGAGCCGGGTGACTATATAGTAGAGGGTGATGTACATGGGGGGGGGGGTTCTTGGCGCAGAACTCAGCAGGAAGCGCAGCGCGGTAGCGAGTGTCACTAGTGCGAAGGTGCGTAATAAGGTCAGCGACTGTGGGAAAGGCAGGCAAGGTCAGGGAAGAGGTACGGTAGCATGAGACGGCTCAGTGCAGCAGTGGCAGGGGAGGAGTAGCGCGCAACTACAGCGTCGTACAAGGTCTGAGCACTCTTGTACTGGCTAAAGTGCGCACGCTCAGAGGTAGGCAGGTGGCGACGCACAGCAAGACGTGCAGCAGCATCGCGAGTGGCCCACTGTGAGCGAACAGTGGCGTCGGCATCAGCAGCAGGGGCAGGAGAGGCACCAGAGGTGAGGTCAAAGAAGGAGAGACCGTCTGCCCTATCGCACTGTAGGAAAAGCTGCAGGTCATCTACCCAGACTTCAAAGTCAATGGCCCGACCCTCAGCGTCAAAAGCGAGGACACTAGGGGTAGCCATGACTGCAGTAGACTAGCAGCAGGAACAGTAGGGCAAGGGCAGTGCAGTGACAGAGGCTCTGCTCTTACCGGACACGGCGGCTCGGGTGGCTCGGCGGCTCGGCAGCTCGGCGGCCCGGGCGGCTCAGCGGCAACAGCGGCTCGGCGACTCGGCGGCTCGGGCGGCTCGGGTGGCTCGGCGACTCGGCGGTCCGGGCGGCTCGGCGGTCGGTTGCTGGGCGGCTCGGCGGCTCGGCTGCTGGGCGTCTCGACGGCTCGGCGGCTGGTGTGGTTGGTGCGACTGCTGCTGCAGAGACGGCGGCGGCTGCTGCCTCAGGGACGGCAGTGGCCGGCCGCTAGGGGCCGCGTCTGGTGCAGTAGAGGGCCGCGTCAGGGGCGGCGTAGGGGCCGCGACAGGGGCGGCGTAGGGGTCGCAACAGGGGCGGCGAAGGGCCGCGTCACGGGCCGCGTCAGGGGCCGCGTCAGGGGCGGCGTAGGGGCCACGGCAGGGGCCGCGTCAGGGGCCTCGTCAGGGGGCCGCGGCAGGGGCCGCGTCAGGGGCGGCGTCAGGGGCGGCGTAGGGGCCGCGGTAGAGGCGGCGGAGGGGCCGCGTCAGGGGCCGCGCCAGGGGCCTCGTCAGGGGCCGCGGCAGGGGCCGCGTCAGGGGCCACGCCAGGGGCCTCGTCAGGGGCCGCGGCAGGGGCCGCGTCAGGGGCGGCGTCAGGGGCGGCGTAGGGGCCGCGGTAGTGGCGGCGGAGGGGCCGCGTCAGGGGGCCGCGTCAGGGGCCGCCTCAGGGGCAGCGTCAGGGGCCGCGTCAGGGGCCGCGTCAGGGGCTGCGCAGGGGCCGCGTCAGGGGCCGCGTAGGGGCCGCGTCAGGGGCCGCGTAGGGGCCGCGTCAGGGGCGACGTAGGGGCCGGGTAGGGGCCGCGTAGGGGCCGCGTGGGGGCCGCGTAGGGGTCGCGTAGGGGCCGCTAGGGGGGGGGGGGGGGGGGCGCTAAAAAAAAAATTAGGGCAGGGGCGCAATGCGCGTCGGGCAGCTAAAAAAAAATTCGTTATGGTGGGCCCTTAGGAAGGAACGGTCCCATGTAGGAACCCGCTCTATACCATGTGAAACAAGAAAACAGGAATGAAATGACTAAGTGAAAGTTGGGTACAAAAAGGCAAACCCTAGAGAACTGTACCCCATATGTGCTACCCCACTATAGCCTACAGAAGCTATGTCATATAAATCTGACATCGAACGTCGGCGTACTCTCACAGCGCAGCTACCTTGGCTTGCAGATCACTCGGGACAGAGCACGTCGCACCATCACACTGACTCAGTCACACATGGTGCAGCAGGTCCTTTAGCGCTTCGGCTTCACCTGGTCCTCGCCACAGCACACTCCTCTGGCTACAGGCCACTCGCTCTCAGCTCCACCTTCGGACGAGTCCGTAGAGCCGAGTGGCCCGTACCCAGAGCTAGTGGGCTGCCTCATGTACCTGATGACTTGCACTCGACCTGACCTTGCGTACCCTCTTGGCCTTCTGGCTCACTACATGGCTCCTGGTCGGCACCGAAAGGTGCACATGGATGCTGGGAAGAGGGTACTGCGCTACTTGTGCAGTACATCGGGCATGAGGCTCGTGCTTGGAGGGCAGAGCGCAGTTGTCCTCATTGGGCACTCAGACGCTTCTTCGGTTGACGACCAGGCTATGCAGCGGCCGTCACAGGGTTACACCTTCAGCCTTGGCTCTGGTTCAGTTTCTTGGCGTTCTACACGCTCGACTTCTGTTCTCAGCTCCAGTTGTGAGGCTGAGATCTACGCCACAAGCCATGGCTGCACAGGAGTTACGCTGGCTCACCTACCTGCTAACCGACTTGGGAGAGCGGCCTTGTTCTCCTCCAGTGCTGTACGTCGACAACAAGGCCGGCATTGCCTTGTGTCAGGAGCACAGACTGGAGCACAGAACGAAGCACATCGCTCTGCGTTACTTCCTGGCTCGAGAGTTGCAGCAGCGTGGTCAGCTTTGTCTTGCTCACGTGGCCACTCGGGCCAACACTGCTGATATATTCACCAAGGCACTTCCGTCTGGTGATCATCAGCGTTTCTGCACTTTGTTAGGCCTTGTGCCCACTTTGCCTCAATTGCTGTAGACTTTGCTTGTACTGTGATAATTATATATATATATATACCTGCATGCCTGTTCTGCTAGGTAGAGATCACTGTGCTGTTGTTGTTGCATATATACCTCTGCATGTGAACTGGCCTTGTGGCCCTTTGCTTGTGCTCAGTGTGTGTGGTGACGTTGTGATCCACCTTGAGCTTGCTTTGCTTCTTCTGACTGGTCTTGTGACCCCTTGCTCTCCCCCACTTTGCCTATGGGGGTGTGTCAAATGTTATATCTGCTATATATGTTTAGGCTGTAGTGGGGTAGCCAATATGGGGTACAGCCCACTTTAGGGTTTCATATTTGTACCCAACTCTTTCATAGTTCAATCATTCCTGCTGCTAGATTCTAACAGACCCCAGGCCCCGCACGCCGCTTCTTGCGTGCAACTGCTGCTACTACTGCTGCTACTACTGCTACTAGTACTGCTACTGCTGCTGCTGCTACTGCTGCTACTGCTGCTGCTAATACTGCCGCCCCTCTCAGCTGCTCCTACGTGCTGTGCCACTATGGCTTCTCTCCGCGTGCTAGCGTTCTATCATGAGGGCCGCCCCCTGCAGTTTGACACGTGGCTCGACAACCTGCAGCTGTACCTGCTGAGCGAATCTAGGGACAGTGTTTCGTTGATTGACCAAACGTCTGGCACCGCTCCCGCCCCTCCCGCCACAGCTGACAGTGCGACCCGTTCCCAGTGGCTGACCCGCGACGCTGCTGCCCACTTAGCCATTCGCAACCACCTCCCGTTGGCCGAATGCGCTCACTTCGGACAGCACAGGACAACGCAGACACTGTACGACGCTATAGTCGCTCACTACTCCTCGCCTGCCACTGCTGCTCTAGGCCGCCTCCTCCTGCCCTACCTGTTCCCCGAGCTGACCGCCTTTGCCACAGTCGAGGACCTGGTTTCCCACCTTCGCGCTAGCGACGCTCGCTACCGCGCTGCCGCCCCCGCTGAGTTCCTTGACAAGAACCAGCCCCCGATGTTCATCACTCTCTACTTTATAGTCACCCGCCTCCCTGACTCTCTTCGCTCTATCAGGGACCACTTTCTCTCACTTGACCCCACCTCCCTCACTGTTGACCTACTCGAGCAGCACCTCCTTGCAGCTGAGACTAGTGTAGTAGCTGTAGGTGCTGCTCGTGGCACTCCGCGCACGCCCTTCTTTGAGGGGTGCTCCCCCTCCCACCATGTCCCCCCCTACGCCTCTGCTGTTGCTGTAGATGTCCTGAGTACTGAGGATGTCGGGGCTGCTTCTGCTAGTGCGAAGCGCCGCAGCAGCAAGGGCAAGGGTGGCAGGGGTGGTGGAGGGGGCAGCGGGAGTGGTGGTTGTCAGAATCATGAAGGAAGGAATGACTGAACTAGCAAGCAGGTGGGTACAAGTAGGAAACCTAAAAGTGTTGTACCCTATATGAACTACCCCACTACAGCCTAGACAGACTATAGCATATAAGTTTGACACACCCCCATAGGCAAAGTGGGGGAGAACAAGAGGTCACAAGACCGGTCAAGAAAGGCAAAGCAAGCTCAGGGTGGATCACGGCGTCACCACGCATTCTGAGCACAAGCAAATGGCCACAAGGCCAGTTCACATGCAGAGTTATATAAAGGAGAACAAGCAATACAGTGAACACAAGCTAGCAAGTGTAACCATGCAGGTATATGTATAGAGATCACAGTACAAGCAAAGTCAAGAAGTAAGCAAGTGAGGCACAGTAGGTACAAGGCCTAGAACAGTACAGAAACGCTGATGATCACAAGGCTGAAGTGCCTTGGTGAAAACATCAGCAGTGTTGGCCCGAGTGGCCACATAAGAAAGACGAAGCTGACCACGCTGCTGCAACTCTCGAGCAAGGAAGTAGCGCAGAGCGATGTGCTTCATTCTGTGCTCCAGTCTGTGCTCCTGACACAAGGCAATCATGGCCTCGTTGTCGACGTACAGCACTGGAGGAGAACGAGGCGGCTCTCCTAGGTCGGTCAGCAGGTAGGTGAGCCAGCGTAACTCCTGTGCAGCCATGGCCCCTGCGTAGATCTCAGCCTCACAACTGGAGCTGAGAACAGAAGACGAGCAGGTAGACCGCCAAGAGACAGAGCCGGAGCCAAGGTTGAAGGTGTAACCCTGTGACGTCCGCTGCGTAGTCAAGTCGTCAGCCCAGGAAGCGTCTGCGTGACCAGTGACGACAACTCCAGCCCGTCCTCCAAACACGAGCCCCATGCCCGACGTACTGCACAAGTAGCGCAACACCCTCTTAGCTGCATCCATGTGCTCCTTCATGTGTCTGCCAGGAGCGACATAGCGTGCTAGAATGCTAAAAGGGTAGGCAAGGTCAGGTCGAGTGCAGGTCATCAGGTACATGAGGCAGCCCACAAGCTCTAGATACGGGCCACTCGGCTCTACGGACTCGTCCAAAGGTGGAGCTGAGAGCGAGTGACCGGTAGGCAAAGGAGTGGACTGTGGCGAGGAGTACATGAAGCCGAAGCGCTGAAGGACCTGCTGCACCATGTGAGACTGAGTCAAGGTAATGGTGCGCTGTGCTCTGTCCCGGGTGATCCGCAAGCCAAGATAGCTTGTCACCTCACCCAGGTCTGTGCACGTGTGTCTCTTCTGCAGCTCCAACTTCACGTGGGCGAGTGCCTCAGTGTCAACAGTAGCAAAGATGAGGTCGTCTACGTACACGAGAACGTAGAGCGGCGGCAGAGTTGTGTCGGTGCGGAGAAACAGCGACGGGTCTGCAGTGGAAGGAGCAAACCCAAGAGCAGCAAGAGTCGTCCTCAATGTGTCATGCCACTCACGGGGTGCCTGGCGAAGACCGTAGACAGGCCGCCGGAGGCTCCACAGGGTACCTGCAGGAAACGACCAGCCAGATGGGCGGCACAGCCAGATCTCCTCGTGCAGGCTGCCCTGTAGGAAGGCTGTGCTGAAGTCAAGAGAGTGTAGCTCGTAGTCACGCTGAGCAGCGACGTGCAGCAGCACCCGAAGAGTGGTCATCTTCAGGGTAGGGGAGAAGGTCTGGAAGAAGTCAACTCCCTGTCGCTGACTGAAGCCTCGTGCAACGTCATGCGCCTTGAAGACAGGCGGAGAACCCGGCGACCACATGCCACTAACGATGTTCGCCCTGAAAATCCACATGCCACTAACGATGTTCGCCCCAGGCGAGGGAACCTCGTCGACGTAGGTGCATGTGGACTTCCAGGAAGCCATCTCTGTGTCCATGGCTGTCTGCCACTGAGAGGAGTAGGGACCCTCTATCGCCTCTGCGTAAGAGCGCGGGGTCGGGATGTCTGGTGCATCCGGATCTACCTCAGGGGCAAGCAGCATGGACACGAGATGAGGTAAAGCAGCGCAAAGCACTCAAACTTCTCCTATCTGTCCTCAAGGACGTCCGTGCCAAGAGCACACTCACCCCCGACGGACGGAGGACAGACAGACGCAGACTCAGACTCAGCAACAAGACTAGCGGCGTAGTCTAGACGACAGGCGGCAACAAATTCAATAAGCTCAGCAACTAGAGCAGACGCAGCAGTGGACTCAAACGAAGGGTCAGTGACAACAGTGGCCAGAAACGCGTGACAGTAGGACTAGCAGCATGAAGGGAGTTAGACTCTGGGTCCAGACCTTCAGGAAGAGAGGACGCAGGAGGAGACGGCAGAGGGACACGCTGTGGAGCAGTGGAAGGACGCAGAGTCATAGAGTGAGTGTCAGGGAGAGGAGGAGGACGCTGACGCGGAACACGTTGACCAGTGCGAACAGCGCGAACAGGCGACTCAGGACGAGACTCAGGTGACGCAGGACGAGACTCGGGCGACGCAGGACGAGACTCAAGCTCACGACGCTCCGTAAGACCTCTAGTCAGTCCAAAGTAAGGAGAAGGACCAGGCAGTGGAGAGGCTGGCTGTAACTGCGACTGTGACTGGACAGGTGGTGGGCTCAGTAAGGGAGGAGTAGGACCAGTAGAAGGCGGGAGACCAAGAACCTGCTGAAGGAGCGGAACGTAGTACGGCCGCGGCCGCGCAGCGCCTCCAGAAACAGCAGAGACAGCACCAGTACCCACAGCTCCAGGGTCTCCAGTTACAACTCCAGCAGCACCACCAGCTCCAGTACCTCCAGCAGCTCCAGCTCCAGCAGCACCTCCAGTAGCAACAGCTCCAGCACCTACAGCTCCAACTCCTGCAGCACCACCAGCCCCAGCAGCTCCAGTACCTCCAGTACGAGCACCTCCGGGACCAGCTGCTCCAGCACCTCCCGCAGCTCCAACACCAGCAGGACCCCAACAGCGCCAGTACCTCCAGCACCAGCACCTCCAGGACCAGCGGCTCCAGCAGCTCCAGCACCAGCAGCACCTCCAGCAGCTCCAGCTCCAGAAGCACCTCCAGCAGCAGGCCCCGTAGCTCCAGCAGCACGGCTACAGCGCCGAGCGTACCACTCACGTAGCCGCTGCGGAGAGAGGGGCTCCCGCCGTGACGGGACACCCGGAGGACCTCCAGACTCAGCACGCTCAGGCTCAGCACCCCCAGGCTCAGCACCCCCAGACTCAGCACCCCCAGGCTCAGCACCCCTAGGCTCCACACGCTCAGGCTCAGCACCCCCAGGCTCCGCACCCTCAGACTCAGCAACCCCAGGCTCAGCACCCCCAGGCCCCGCACCCGCAGGCTCAGCACCCCTAGCAGCACAAGAGTTGACAGCTACCTCGACAGGCTCGACAAGGTCTACCTGGGACACACCTGAGGGGGCAGGAACCTGAGGGGGGAGGGGGTCTACTGGAGGAGCACCTGGTGCTAGGAAGAGTGGCGGGGGGGGGAGAGGGGCAGTGCGGTAGGGAAAGAGACTGTAGTAAGATACCGACTTGTCAAACATGACGTCCTGAGAGGACAGAAGACGACGTGAGGTGGGCTGGTAAAACCGCCACCCAGGTGCGTCAAGGGAGAAGCCAAGGAAGACGCAGGGAACGGCACGGGAAGACAGCTTGTCCGCGGAAGTATCGCGGACAAAAGCTCGAGATCCCCAGACACGGAACACAGACGCATCGCCAACCTTCCCCATCCACCGCAGAGTAGGTGTGGTCTCCGGCAAGGAGACACGAGGCTGAAGGCTGATCTGATGCGCAGCGTACTGAACCGCGAACGGCCACAGAAGATGGGGAGCAGCCGCATGGATCATGGACGTACGAGCGACGTCCATGACCATGCCAATGCGGTGCTCAGCAATCCCATTTTGCTGTGGGGAGGCCGGAAGCCTGAACGTCTGGCGGATGCCCTTCGCACGACAGAAGGCTCTCAGGAGGTCGGAGGAAAACTCCCCGCCTCTATCTGAGTGCAGACGCAAAACAGGAAGGTCCGAGCCGAAACTCTCGCTGAGCTGGCGACGGGCACCGCGGATCCAGTCGATCAACACCTCAGTGACCTCACCCTTGCGGCGCAAGGGGAAGACTGTGGTGTAACGCGAGTAGTCGTCAACGACCAGGAGGAAGTAGCGCTCGTGACCCTGTCCACGGACGCGGGCTGGGCCCCACACGTCCATGTGAAGAGTCTGCAGGAGAGCCTCTGTCGGGGGGAACTCGGAGGAGTGAGGAGCGGCACGCTGCCGGCCCTCGACACAAGGAACACAGGTAGGGGCAGGCCCCGGAGGAAGGGGAGGGAGGGACCGGGGGAGACCAGAGACAAGGGTACGGGAGGCCATACCTTGAAGACGAGGCAGGGAGGGGTGACCAAGGCGGTGGTGCCAAAGGAGAGTCTCGTGCGACAGAGGACGACACGAGCAGGGGGCAGACGCAGGACTAGACCTGGACGCGGCAGCAACCACCTGACCAGACGCGGCTAACTGACCAGACGCAGTAACCGAAGGAGACGCAGTAGTCAGTGTGTACAGACTCAACCCAGGCCGACGGGTGAACGTGGCCAGGTGGCGGCCCGTTCGAGAGCAAGTGCAGTGGGTCACACGCTGACCTCCAGGGGTGAACTGGTCAACCCACGCGTCCTGGAGGTCAGCTCCACTCACCAAGTTCGTAGAGAACGAGGGGAGGTGGAGTCCCGACAGCAAGCCCGACGGGGCTGCAGGACACGGTAGAACCGTGGAGGAGTGTGCAAGGACTGGGCCCTAAGAGGGGTCAGCAAGGGAGACCGCAACAGGCCGACTGAACGGCGTGAGCGTGGTGCTGTCTCTAAAGAAAGAGCGCGAAGCACCAGAGTCAAGTGTGAAAGTGTGCAAGGACTCAGTAGGTGCAGTACCAGAGAGAGGAGGTGGAGTCCCGACAGCAAGCCCGACGGGGACGCAGGACACGGTAGAACCGTGGAAGAGTGCGCAAGGACTGGGCCCCTAGAGGGGTCAGCCAGGGAGACTGCGACAGGCCGACTGGGTGGCGTGAGTGTGGTGCTGTCGCGAAAGAAGGAGCGCGGAGCACCAGAGTCAAGTGCGAAAGTGTGCAAGGCCTCGGTAGGTGCAGTACCAGAGAGAGCAGACTCACCAGCACCTGGAGCAGCAGACTCACTAGTACCTGGAGCAGCAGACTCACGAGTACCTGGAGCAGCAGACTCACTAGCACCTAGAGCAGCAGCCTCAATGCCCGGGTCGGGCGGAGCACAAAGGTAACAGTCATCCTCAGCACTATCAGTCACAGCATACATGGCAGCAAGGATAGTATCGAAATCAAGATCAAAGATAGCAACATTCTGCTTAAGCAGATCACCCCAGCGAGGGAGCTCAACAGCGTCAGGAAACTGGGCGCGCCAGGCGTCAGTCAGGCGACCGAAGCAGCGCTGCGTAGTGTGTGGCAGCCCGCACGTCTCCCTACGGTGCCCGCCGATGCGAAGAACGTAAGTGCGGGGACCAACACCCCCAGACCTCCCACGCCCAGCGTACCACTCACAAAGCTGCTGGGTCGACGGGGTCTCACGGGAACGCGGCTGCTGCTGGCGCTGGCTACCACCAAAGCCTCCACGCTGTGCGGCTCCACCTCGACCAGCACCACCGCCGCCGCCACCTCCACCACCGCTGCCGCTGCCTCCATTGCCGCTGCCGCTGCCTCCACCACCCCCACCTCCGCCACCGAAGCCCCCACTCCCGCCACCACCCCCACCTCCACCGCCACCCCCTTCGCCTCCTCCACCGCCTCCACCGCCGCCCCCACCGTCCCCTCCACCACCCTTTCCCCCCTTGCCCTTGCTGTTGCGGTGCCTCCCACTAGGATCAGACGCAGCCCCGACCTCCCCAGTGCCAACGAGGTCGACAGCAGCAGCAGAAGCAACAGAGGGGAGAAGGGGGACAGGGGAACACCCCTCAAAGAAAGGGGCGCTACGGTCGCCGCGAGAAGCACCTACAGCAACGATACTCTTCTCAGCTGCAGTGAGGCGCTCCTCTAGCAGGTCGACGGTGAGCTCGGTGGGGCAAAGGGAGAGAAAGTGGTCCCTGACTGAAGCAAGGGAGTCAGGGAGGCGGGTGACTAGGTAGTAAAGGGTGATGTACATGGGGGGGGGGGGGGTTCTTGGCACAGAACTCAGTGGGAAGCGCAGCGCGGTAGGGGGCGTCACTAGTGCGGAGGTGAGTAATGAGGTCAGCGACTGTGGCAAAGGCGGCAAGGTCAGGGAACAGGTACCGCAGCATGAGGCGGCTGAGGGCAGCAGTGGCAGGGGAGGAGTAGCGCGCTACGACAGCGTCATACAAAGACTTTGTAGTCTTGTAATGGCCAAAGTGCGCGCGCTCAGCAGACGGCAGGTGACTACGAACAGCAAGGCAAGCAACAGCATCACGAGTGGTCCACTGCGAGCGAACCGTACTGTCAGCAGTGGCAGCAGGTGCAGGAGAGACACGGGACGTGTGATCGAAAAGGGATACTCCGTCCTTAGAGTCACACTAAAGAAAGAGCTGCAGGTCGTCAACCCACACGTCAAAGTCAACTGCACGCTCCTCAGCATCAAAGGTAAGAACATTAGGGCTAGCCATAGCGGCAGTAGCAGCAGTAGCAGCAGTGGCAGCAGAGGCAGCAGAAGCAGCAGTAGCAGCAGGAGTAGCGCGGGCAGGGCAGTGCGGCTCATGTCAGAATAATATACAATTCTATATATTGTTCTATAATTGCCTGTAGTGTAGAATACTGTAGTCATATAACTTTCTGTTTGGTGGTGCACCTTTCTTCATTCTTGCCTATTTGTACTGCTCGCTCTATAGTGAACAACCTCTTTTGCTCTTTTTGCCTCACCCTACTCCCTCGTCACTCAAACTAGTACCTTGGACCCTTGCCATGGCTCCTACGTTCAACTAGTTACTTTCGACATGGTATCTAGAGCAGGTCCGTCCTCCGGACCTCCGTCTCGTTTTCGTATCATGGGCCCACCACTGGCCAACGTGCAACTCGCCCCGTCGCCCCTGCTGTCCCGGTCGCGCCAAGTTGGTCACGTCGCGACCAACAGGAAGCAGGCCGCGACGACCAGCGCGGCGCGATTTGCGCTGGTCGTCAGCATCCCCGTTTGCTGCCCCGTCGCGCGTCGGCTTTGTCACGCGTTCTGCCCGTGGCGAACGCGCCATTTACCGTGGCGAACGCGCCAGCAGTGCGCAGCCCGTCACTTGCCCCGTCACACAGCAGCACGCACAGCCGCGCGTAGCAGCAGCGTGCACGCCTGCGCGCGTAGCAGTCGCCCCCGCGAGCAGCAGCAGTACGCACAGCAGTGCGCACAGCAGCAGTGGCGAACGCAAGTACATGTGCACTTGCAGCGCCCTGTATCCCGCCGCCGCGGTTGCCGCTGTGGGAGGAGGTGGCGGGGTGGGGGGAGGGGAGGCGCGAGGGTTGACGCCACTCTGTTCGCTGCTGCGCCACACCGCTACGCCGCCACACGCCGTCCCTTCTCTCTCCCTGCTGCGCGTGCAGCAGTGGGGGGGGGAGGGTTTGGGGTGGCGGGTGTGAGCAAGAAGCTGCCGCCCCTCCTCTCTCCCTCACTGCCGCACGTGCCGCTGTGGGGGGGAGAGTGAGGGGGCGACGGAAGTCAGCCGGTCATCTGCTGCTGTCGCCCGCTGCTGCCGTGGCACCTCCAGCTGCCGCCCCTGCCGCCACCTGCCTTTGCTGCCTTTGTTTCTGCTGCCTGCTGCTGGGGCCTGCAGGTGCTGCTGTCGAGCCGCTGCTGTCCTGCTGCACTTTGCAGCCACAGAGCCTGCTCCTCAGGCGACCTGCCGCCCCTACACCTGCTACTATTTCTGCCTTGGCCGAGGGGTTGGTATAGCTGGATCTGCCATCATTGCACCGATTGCCACTGCACTTGCCTGTTGCTGTGATTTCCGCTGCGGCCTGTCTGGTGTACCCCATAATGGGGTCGTTGACTGCACATTCTTCCCTACAGGCAATTATGGGGGCGTGTCAGAATAATATACAATTCTATTTATTGTTCTATAGTTGCCTGTAGTGTAGAATACTGTAGTCATATAACTTTCTGTTTGGTGGTGCACCTTTCTTCATTCTTGCCTATTTGTACTGCTCGCTCTATAGTGAACAACCTCTTTTGCTCTTTTTGCCTCACCCTACTCCCTCGTCACTCAAACTAGTACCTTGGACCCTTGCCATGGCTCCTACGTTCAACTAGTTACTTTCGACAGCTCAGTAGGGCGGCGCGGCTCGGCAGGGCGGCGCGGCTCGGTAGGGCGGCGCGGCTCGGCTGGGCGGCGCGGCTCGGCTCCTGGCGGCGCGGTGCGGCAGGGCGGCGCGGCTCGGAGGAGCGGCGCGGCTCGGCTAGGCGGCACGGCTCGGCTAGGCGGCGCGGGTGCTTACCAGGGGCGGGTGCAGGGCAGGGCCGCAGCTGGCGGTTAGGTCAGGGCCGCGACCGGGGCGGCAGCAGAGCAGGGCCGCTACTTGGCGGCGGTAGAGCAGGTCCGCGACTGGGGCGGCTGAAGGGCAGGGCCGCGACGCGTCGGCGGCAACGCAGGGCCGCGACAAGGCGGCGGCAGGGCAGGGCCGCGGCTGGATGGCAGGGTAGGGCAGGGCCGCGACGAGCAGCGGCAGGGCAGGGCCGCGACAGGCGGCTAGGGTAGGCCGCGACGGGCAGCAAGGCATGGCCGCGGGTGGCAGCAGGGCAGGGCCACGACTAGGCGGCTAGGTCAGGGCCGCGACGAGGCGGCGAGAGGGCAAGGCCGCGACGGGCCGAGAAAGCAGGGGGCCGCGACGGGCCGTTAGGGCAGGGCCGCGACGGGCCGAGAAGGCAGGGCCGCGACGGGCGGCACTAGGGCAGGGCGCGCGATGGCGCAGGTGAGGCAGGCGTGAGGCGCGCTTCGGGTAGGGCTGGAAAAAAAAAAGTTATCGTAGTGGGCCCTAAAAAAAAAACGTTCCCACGAGGGAACCTGCTCAGAATACCATGTCAGAATAGTGAAGGAAGGAATGACTGAACTAGAAAGCAGGTGGGTACAAGTAGGAAGCCTAAAAGTGTTGTACCCTATATGAACTACCCCACTACAGCTTAGACAGACTATAGCATATAAGTTTGACACGGTTGCCACGGAAGCCGCTTGTGAGGTCTCGTTCTGCTACCAAGTTGTCCAGGTACGTTTGGAGAGTAAGTCGCTCATAGAAAATCACGCCACGTGCTGCTACTCTTTCCTTCGAGTGGACGTCAGGGAGGCGGGTGACTAGGTAGTAAAGGGTGATGTACATGGGGGTGGGGTTCTTGGCACAGAACTCAGTGGGAAGCGCAGCGCGGTAGCGGGCGTCACTAGTGCGGAGGTGAGTAATGAGGTCAGCGAATGTGGCAAAGGCGGCAAGGTCAGGGAACAGGTACCGCAGCATGAGGCGGCTGAGGGCAGCAGTGGCAGGGGAGGAGTAGCGCGCTACGGCAGCATCATACAAAGACTTAGCAGTCTTGTACTGGCCAAAGTGCGCGCGCTCAGCAGACGGCAGGTGACTACGAACAGCAAGGCGAGCAACAGCGTCACGAGTGGTCCACTGCGAGCGAACCGTACTGTCAGCAGTGGCAGCAGGTGCAGGAGAGACACCGGACGTGTGATCGAAAAGGGATACTCCGTCCTTAGAGTCACACTGAAGAAAGAGCTGCAGGTCGTCAACCCACACGTCAAAGTCAACCGCACGCCCCTCAGCATCAAAGGTAGGAACATTAGGGCTAGACATAGCGGTAGTAGCAGTAGTAGCAGCAGTAGCAGCAGTGGCAGCAGAAGCAGCAGTAGCAGCAGGAGAAGCGCGGGCAGGGCAGTGCGGCTCAGTAGGGCGGCGCGGCTCAGCAGGGTGGCGCGGCTCAGTAGGGCGGCGCGGCTCGGCTGGGCGGCGCGGCTCGGCTCCTGGCGGCGCGGCGCGACAGGGCGGCGCGGCTCGGAGGAGCGGCGCGGCTTGGCTGGGCGGCGCGGGTGCTTACCAGAGGCGGGTGCAGGGCAGGGCCGCAGCTGGCGGTTAGGTCAGGGCCGCGACTGGGGCGGCAGCAGGGCAGGGCCGCTACTTGGCGGCGGTAGAGCAGGGCCACGACTGGGGCGGCTGAAGGGCAGGGCCGCGACGCGTGGGCGGCAGCGCAGGGCCGCGACAGGGCGGCGGCAGGGCAGGGCCGCGGCTGGACGGCAGGGTAGGGCAGGGCCGCAACGAGCAGCGGCAGGGCAGAGGCCGCGGCGGGCGGCAAGGTCCGGGCCGCGACGAGAGGCGGCAGGGTAGGGCCGCGACAGGCGGCTAGGGTAGGCCGCGAAGGGCGGCAAGGCAGGGTCGCGGGTGGCGGCAGGGCAGGGCCGCGACTAGGCGGCTAGGTCGGGGCCGCGACGAGGCGGCAAGAGGGCAAGGCCGCGACGGGCCGAGAAAGCAGGGGGCCGCGACAGGCCGTTAGGGCAGGGCCGTGACAGGCCGAGAAGGCAGGGCCGCGACGGGCGGCACTAGGGCAGGGCGCGCGACGGCGCAGGTGAGGCAGGCGCGAGGCGCGCTTCGGGCAGGGCAGGAAAAAAAATGTTATCGTGGTGGGCCCTAAAAAAAACGTTCCCACGAGGGAACCTGCTCAGAATACCATGTCAGAATCGTGAAGGAAGGAATGACTGAACTAGCAAGCAGGTGGGTACAAGTAGGAAACCTAAAAGTGTTGTACCCTATATGAACTACCCGACTACAGCCTAGACAGACTATAGCATATAAGTTTGACAGTGGTGGGGGCAGCAGTGGAGGCAGTGGAGGTGGTGGCAGCGGTGGGAGTGGTGGAGGGAGTGGGGGCGTTGGTGGCAGCGGTGGAGGCAGCAGTGGGAGTGGCGGTAGTGGCAGCGGTGGCAGTGGTGGCGGTAGGACTGGAGCTCTGCGTGGAGGTTCTGGAGGAGGCTAGCGGTAGTGGCAGCAGCGTCGGAGCAAGACCCCGTCGCCCCAGCAGCTTCATGAGTGGTTGTTTCAGCGTGGGGCGTCTGGGGGTAGTGTGAGCTGCCCGTATGTCATTCGCACGGGTGACCGTGCTGGTAAGACATGCAGGAAGGCGCACACGCAGCACCGCTGCTTCTTCCGTCTCAACGATGCGTGGCGTGCTGAGTTTGGTGATGAGGTCTTGCGCCCCCACTGGGCAGAGTTGCTTAGGTCTGGTGTTGCAATCTTTGACCTAGACTATGATGCTATTCTTTCTGCTATGTATGCTTTGTCTGCTAGTGCTGAGGGTGACTGTTACCGGTGTGTACCGCCTGATCCAGGTATAGAGGCTGCTGCTCTAGGTGCTGGTGAGTCTTCTCTCCATGGTACTGCGCCTGCTGAGGCCTTGCACACCTTCACGCTGGACTCACGAGCCTCACGCTATTTCTATTGTGACAGCACCACCCTCACTCCTCTCCTTGCACATGTCCCAGTCAGACTGGCTGACCCCTCTGAGGGCCCGGTCGTTGCCCGTTCCTCCACTGTCCTCCTGTGTCCGGCGGTTCGGTCCGGCTCAGTGTCAGGTCTTCACCTCCCCTTGTTCTCTACGAACTTGGTGAGTACCGCTGCCCTCCAGGACGCGATGGTCACAACCACC